GGAGGTGGTGGGTAGGTGCTTCGGCCGGCTCGGTGGGGAGGTGGGAAGGGGGCGGGGGGGGTGTGGTAACTCCTTTCCGCATGTACTGTCAGACTGGTGCGATCTCCCGAAGTTCCAGGGAGCTGTGACGCTGTGTGTGTAGCAGGAAAAACAAATGAGAAAGGGAAGAAAAAAAAAAGTCGTCTCTTTCTCGGTGACGATGATAATGTTCTTCGAATCGTTGAAGATTCGTTGCTGTTTACTATGCTGTTTGTGACCGTGTATGACCCTGCTGTTTGTGACCATTGCTGTTTACTATTCTGCTTTCCACAAACACTTAGAAGGACAGAAGACGCCAAGAGCTAAAACAGTGATACAGAAAGCACCAGCCATACACTAACAAAGAAAACATAGAGTCAGAGACAGAAAGAGCGAAGTGAGATTCTTCATTGGGGTTGCTTCCTGATGGTGTTCGCGGGCGCAAGCTGCGCTGGCGGCACCTGCTTGTATATTATATATATATTTCTTTTCTTTTTCCTTCTTGTAAATGTTTTTTTTTTTTTGTTGGGGGGGAGGGGGTGGGTGAAGGATGCAACATTTGAAAATAGCACGCCTGACGTGGCCCTTTGATATGATAGATATCATATCGTATATAAGGCTCGAAGTATCGGCTGAATGGGGAAACTGCTGATGTGCTCCAGGCACTGGCAATTGGACTAGATGAGTCCAATTACAAAAGGTTGTTGGCCGGACATTCTCGATCTGCTTCTTTCTCGTCTCTTTCTCAGAAGCTGAACAGCTGGCATTCTGCAATCCTTGCGCATTGTCAATCCAATGCATCTTCGTTCTCCAATCATGTGAGCCAGCCACGTTCATTACGTTCTACACATGCCTCCTTGCGCCATCTTCGACAACACTTTGCCATTGTCCCTGTGGACAAAACATCACACAATTTGGCAATTTGCTGCAAGAATTGGTATCTGTTTCATCTCTCTACCCATTTGGACAGTCCCACTTATATTCGTCCTCAAGAGTCTGTTGCTGATGTCCTTGACCACCATGCAGTGTGGAATCACCATTKGGGTTACACCCACACTGATACCCTACCTTACCTTTACTATGTACTCAAAGCTCACAAGTCTCCTCCAGCTCTTCGCCGCATTCTTGGAGTTATAGCACAAAGTAACAGTGTTGTTCCCCCTCGTGCTCGCCCTTCGCCCAACAATTCGCACCATTCATGAACGGCCTCCTCACAAACCCTTGGCTAGCACAACGACTACTTCGTCGTATCTCAGCGCTGCTTTGCAAGCAGTGATCTCTACTCTTCGCGAGAAAGACACTGAGCTCTATCAACAGGTTGGTGTTCGATGGTGCTGGATCGTTCAGAGTGCCGATGAAGTGGCGATTGACATGAAAAACAATGCATCGTCTCTTCGTGGCCTCTCTCCTCACACTGTTGATTTTACCACAATGTACACGAACCTTCCTCGTGACCGCATTCTGAATAATGTGGCAAAAGTTGTTGATGAAGCTCGTGTTTATGCCCTTCGGCGAGCTCACACGCATTCATGCTGCGTTGCCCTCAACATGGTTATTCGAGGACCTCGTTGTGGCCAATGGACAACTGATTCAGGCCCGGATACCCTTTCTGTTCCTCAGATTCTTCAACATCTTCGCTTTGTTGTACAAAACACGTTTTTATACACGAGAGATGGCACGCTTCGGAAACAAATTATCGGTATTCCACTGGGAACGAATGCTGGCCCAGAAATTTCTAATCTGACGCTGTATTGGGATGAAGCACGCTTTGTTGATGACATTCGTCAACATGATCTTCAAGCTGCTCAACAATATGCCTTCACCTATCGCCTCATTGATAATGTTCTTTCATGGGGACAATTACCTCCTCCACCAGAGCACTATGGGCTTGAGTGGAAGGACTACAGCTACAGATGGCTCCTGTACCTTTTTAGGTATGCATCTACGGGTCCGTTCCGATGACTTGCTTCCCATGAGTGTCTGTGATAAAGCGGCTGCTTGGGACTTCCTTGTCATTCGTTATCCAAGTGCGACCTCCAACATCCCTTCCCATCAACCGGCTGGTGTGTTCACTGGCCAGTTGACCAGATTTGAACAAATCTGTAACAATTGGCAGGACTTTCGAACTGTAGCAACAACACTTACTCCTCGTATGCTTTCGCGTGGGCAACCCTTGCTAAGGGGTGGACCTGCTACATGCGCTCCCGCCAACGTCGCTATCCTACGCATGTGACGCGTCTCTCTCAGTGGTTCCAACGCATGCTGCGATGGTCCTTGTATCATCCAATCTCTTCTTCGCCCCCACGATGCTCTCTTCCTGCCCCTGCTTGCTCATCTGCTGCTACCGCAGTTTCCACTGCTGCAGTCTCCACTCCTGCAGTTTCCACAGCCGCAGTCTCCACTCCTGCAGTTTCCACTGCTGCAGTGTCCACTGTTGCGGTTTCCAATGCTGCAGTGTCCACTGCTGCAGTTTCCACTGCTGCAGTGTCCACTGTTGCAGTTTCCACTGCTGCAGTTTCCACTGCTGCAGTGTCCACTGCTGCAGTTTCCATTGCTCCAGTTTCCACTGCTCCAGTTTCCACCACTGCAGTTTCTACTGCTGCGGTTTCCACTGCTGCGGTTTTCAGTACAACAGTTTCCCTAACTGTAATTCCCCCTGCTGTAGTTCTTACTGCTACAGCTTCCTCTCCTGCAGCTCCAATGCAAAGGACGTCACAATCTCTCTCCGACGCTCACGTTCTTTGCCCCGAAATCTTGCCCAATGCACCCCCCTCGCATCTTTGTTTGTGCTTGGCCGTAGACGACCGCATTCCTCACCACCCCCATCTCCTCTACGGTCTCGCTTGCGAACAGACTCTCCGGTTTCCATTGTTCCCATTGTTCCACTTGCGTTGCTAGGTACAAGTTCAGCTTCTGTTTGCAACACCACTACTACTCTTGTTGTGTATCACCGACGACATCCGCGGCATTGTCACTTGTTCGGGGATCAGCAACCTGTTTCTTTGTCTGCCCCGATTCTCTCGGTGCCTCCTCCACAGGTTGTTGCGGTTCCTTTGTTTCAAACGGCAATATCCGCTCCCATGCCTCCTGCAGACAGTCCAGCGGCCTGCAGGCAGCCACCAATCCCTACTCAGGATGCAGCCGCTGCCCAGAGTACACTCCCGACTCCAGGTACAGTCCCTACTCAGGATGCAACCCTAAACGTTGAGGGATTGGAACATGATCTTCCCGGATTGCAGTTGACCCCACAAGGCGTAGACCACATGGGGGATCTGCAAATTGCTGACCAGCCCCTGGTTGCATTACGTCACTTACTGTACAGTAGCGGATCGACAAAACGGGAAGCTATTGTAAAAAAGAGGGAAGTCCAGGTTTGCCAATTTTGTTTGGTGGCTAACAAAGTTGCTGTTGCATCTGTCCTTTTTTCTCGGCAATGTGCACACACATACAGGTGGAGGAATTACGAGCGGACCTTGCTGATATCAAGCAGATGTATCGTGAGCAGATTGATATGCTTGTCAATCAAGTAAGTGTTGATTGCTCTCACAGTGCCCTGAACGCTTGGCGCCAATTGGCCCCAACTGACTTACCAGTCAATCCGTCTGCACGTAGTCGGCCCGCTGCCAATTGAACGTCCAGTGAGGAGGAGGCTGTCGACTTTTGCAGAGTGAAATCTCCTCCAAACTTTCCCCCAAGCTCCGCTTTGAAGTTTGTACCCTTTTGCCTCCCTCTAGACTACCTTTTTCCTTCTTTCTTCCCCTACCTACCTACCTACCTACATTCCTCTCTCTCTCTCTCTCTCTCTCTCTCTCTCTCTCTCTCTCTCTCTCTCTCTCTCTCTCTCTCTCTCTCTCTCTCTCTCTCTCTCTCTCTCTCTCTCTCTCTCTCTCTCTCTCTCTCTCTCTCTCTCTCTCTCTGTGTGTGTGTGTGTGTGTGTGTGTGTGTGTGTGTTCGGAAAGGATCTCACGGCGCATCCGCCATGCTACTCCACTCTTCCAGTGGTACACCAGGGCCACCCATAGCCCATCACATGCCGTTTTAACTGCCACCCATCCATGCTACGCTGCCAGCTTAAAATGACAGGCCACACACAAACAAACCAAACAGGCAAACCACTGCTGCCACTATACTTCTCTGAAGCTGCCTCATACATCCGTGGCTAACCACAACCAGTTTCCTAAGTCCCGCATAGGATGGAGGGCATGGGGGAGGCGGGAGGGCATATGACACACAACGACACCAAGCAGACAATGAAAAGGCATGACGTGATAAGTCATGGGATGACAAGCAACAGCGAAGGACACAGGCTGGAGGGCACAGGGGAGGTGGACGGGAAGACGACACACAAGCACACCAAGCAGGCGGGAGGGCAGACAACATGCAAGCACACGAAACAGGCGAACAAGAAAAATAAATAAAAAAATACAAACCAGAAGACCAAAAAAAAAATAAAAACTGATGATAACAAGATTGTTTCGTCGGAGTTGCACCGACTCATCAGGAGGCTGAACCCTCGACAATCTGCGGAATCCCCGTATTTGATGGTTTGGGTCATGAACCCTTTGACCCATGTTGAAGGCAGACTGTCCCCAAGCAAGACATAGCAGCGGGCAGCAACCCTGTGGAGCACCAGGCAACACAGTAGGGGCAACACGGCTGCACAACGCCAAAAACGACTGCAAGGAATGTCATGGCATGCAGGGCATGCAGCGCAGCAGCCGTGTTGTGAAGCACAAGGCAACACAAGCAAGGCAACAGCACTGCAGGGAACGACAGGGCAAGCGGACCAGCAGCTCGGCGAGCGTGGAGCGGAGCGAGCACAAGGCACCTGCAACAAGGCAACCAACCTACAGGGCACACAAGCAGCAAACCCGAGAGGCACGACCAGCGGATGAGCAGCACGGCAGCGAAGCAGTGAAGCAGCGAAGCGCAAGGCAACACCAACAACACGGCCACAACGCACAGCGAACACATCAACCTGCAAAGAACCACATGCGAAGCAAGCGGGACAGGCAGCAGGGCAACGGCGGAGCGCAGACGAGGACGTCCACACATCCAACACAGAGCAAAGCAGCACGTGACCTACTCACATCACGATTGAACCCCGCAGACTGTTGGTTCCCACCACCCGCTAAGCCAGGGAGACACTCCGACGACCATCCGTCATCACCGACAGGCAACACACACACATCCCGAACCGAGCGGCCCCCCTAAGAGTGCAGTAGCACCCCAAACGAGGAACCACCGACTGTTTGGCACTGCTAGAGGGTGCTCGGCTAGAGACACAAGAAGCATTTAGAAAAAATAGAAGAAAGCGGAAAAACAAACACACCTAAAACTGATTGTGTGTGTGTGTGTGTGTGTGTGTGTGTGTGTGTGTGTGTGTGTGTGTTGGAAAACAGGCACAAAAAAAAGCATACCACTGCGGTGAAAGTGTACCCCTGTGCTGGAAGTTTACCTCCTATCTCGTTAAGCACGTAGCTCTTGCCGCATTGTCGTAAAGGATATTTTTCACACACTATGGGCTTCGCTCCACTAGTCTCGAAACGTGGAAAACGAGAGTGAATCTTTCGTTAGAAATGGAAAGATACACCGCCATGATTTTTGTCTTTTGTGCATGTCGAAGTAGTGGAGTGAGGCCCTGTTTCACTAACTTTCGCACGTCTCCCAGCGTGTCATAAGAACTGGCGGTTGATTTTTTTAACCGATGCCCTGCGGCAGGAGCGTGTGTGTTATTAACTTATTATTAAGTTATCAGCTTATTATCTGGTTAAGTGTGCACCTCTTGTCTCACTGTGGTGAATAATATTGTCATGCACAGTTCAGCACATTTTGTTTTTTGTCTTCTACTTTTGTTTCTTTGTGACGTGGCCTATGCGTCAGTGGTTGCTGATGAAGCTGACGACCTCCTTTTTTCCTTTCTTTTTTCTTTTTTCTTTTTTTTTGGGTGCTGAACTAGGCTACCAGCCGGGCCGCCCGGGTCCCGGGTGGCCAGCCCGTGCAAGGACCAGGGAAGGTCTCACCAAAAAAAAAAAAAACTAAAAATCCGAAAAAAAACTATGTTATGCAGAAAATATTAAAATAATGAAAATTTCAAAAATAAACGGAAAAACTTTTGCCTCAGGGTCACATCGAAATTCTTCATCAAATTTAGAATAAAAAATCAAATTTAGAACTTTTTTTTTTTTTTTTTTTTTTTGGCCCGGCCGGGCAAGTGACCCCGGGCCACTCTGGTAGCCTAGGTGCTGAAGCTGACCACCTGTTTTCTCGATTGTCGCTTTTTTTTGTGTCTTTTTGTCTTGCAGATTGAGAGGATGAGTGCGCAATTGGATGCAAGTCAACGTACGAGCCACTAAAAGAGGCATCATCAGTGAACGGCACTGAATGCGCTTTTGAGAAACCTCTTGAAGTTCATAGGAGATTTGTTGTGGCCCAGCAGTGTGTTGGGAATTTTTCAATACCAGGGGCCAGGTCTTTGAATAGGTGGAAATGTGTTCTGTTTTTTTTTTTGTTTTGTTTTTTTTTCCCCCTGCGTCTTGGTGAAATTTATTAATAAGCAGTGACTCCAGTGAGGATAATGTTCGCAATCCGTTTGCGACTTGTGGTTTGCATTGCAGAGCGGGGGGGAGGGAGGAGGAATGAGGAATGAGGAATGAGGGCATGCATAATCACACTAGGAACTTTTCGACTCCCTTTGGACGTAAGTGCGGTTAGATGCACCTAGGTGCGGCCGTAATTTCACCCAGATACATTTACAAAAGTGTTTGTGTGAGTATGCACTTGAAAGGTAAAAGAGGGAAAGGTGGTGAAG